CCGGGGCAGAGCCTCCCCGACGGTGGACGCGGAATTTTTCAAGCAGCTGCTGGAACTTCGCAAGCTGTTCTTCCCAAAGCTGGTGAGCGCCGAGCTGGGCTTGCTCTGCCTCCACTCGGTCGCTCTGGTTTCCAGGACCTTCCTCTCCATCTATGTGGCCGCCCTCGATGGGAAGATTGTGAAAAGCATCGTGGAAAAGCAGCCTAGGAGCTTCGTCTTCAAATTAATCAAATGGCTGATGATTGCAATCCCGGCCACTTTTGTCAATAGCACCATACGGTACCTGGAGTGCAAACTGGCCCTCGCCTTCCGCACGCGTCTGGTGGATCATGCCTATGAGACCTACTTTGCTAACCAGACTTACTACAGAGTGATCAGCATGGATGGGCGGCTGGCCAACCCTGACCAGTCCCTCACCGAGGATATCATGATGTTCTCACAGTCTGTGGCACACCTTTACTCCAACCTCACCAAGCCCATCCTGGATGTCATGCTCACCTCCTACACGCTCATCCGCACAGCGCGGTCCCGGGGGGCTAACCCCATTGGGCCCACGCTCCTGGCTGGGCTTGTCGTCTACGCTACGGCTCGCGTGCTCAAGGCCTGCTCACCCAAGTTTGGCAAGCTGGTGGCTGAGGAGGCGCACAAAAAGGGCTATCTGCGCTTTATGCATTCACGCATCATTGCCAATGTGGAAGAGATTGCCTTTTACCGAGGGCACAAGGTAAGGAGGAGAGAAATTGGAGGGTGTTGGGGTTGCTCCTGCAGTGCCAGAGCAGACCTGTGCTTCCCCTGCTGCTCTCCCCGAGAAGTTTGGGTCTCTCTGACATTTAAACCTGTTTACAGCTAGCACTTCCCGTTTCCTAGGAAAGTGTCTGGGGGGAGCGGACCGTAGTTCCCTTATGCTCTGACAATGTTCCTGTTTTGCAGCTGGATCCGATGCTTTTCTAGAAAGCTAGTCTCCTTTCTTATTTTTCCCCCCACTCAGTTCGTTCTGTTTAACTTTTCCAGGCATTTTTTGTTTTCCACATATGTTTATGAACTACCGGATGTAATGCTGCAGAAACAGCAACCAGGGCACTGCAGAAACTTTAGGGGAAAACTGTGATAGCACAGAGAGCACTACAACCTTTGACACTCTTTTACATAGCTAAGCAAAGATGTAGTCATCAGAGTCTTAAAATAGCTTAAGTACGGTACTTCAGCAGTCACGGTTACATAAACTAATGGCTTGTTTTAAAGTCACCTTATTAAGGAGTTCCTGCTATTTTTATTAGAAGTGAGTTTTGGCAGTAACACATTTCAAACACGATTTGGAAAAAAAAGTTGTTTCACGTAAGGTGAAAATGAAAGCTGGAAACCAGCCTGAAGTATTACTCTTTCAGTCCAAGCAATGATTATATAATATAAATGGTAGAAGCAATCGTTCTCAAAAGCTACCTATAGTAATGTTTTAAGTGCAGCTAAATTAAACATTTTTTTTAATTTCCATGTATACTGGCTTGAACTGAATGCATTATATCGTGTTGACTTGCAACTGTCTTTGACTTGTCTTAAACCACCTCTTGGGATAGTTCTCTCTTCCTGCAGACTGCTTGCAAAAACAAGCAGCATTGCATTTCAGGGATCAGCTTGGCAACTTTAAGTCATTGGAGATAATTGATCCCCAAACACTTTCCAGTAGGAGGAGTTTCTGTCACTGTGAAACTCTACAGCTGCAGCTTCATTAAAGGATGTGGAATCAATCTTATTTTGGTTGCTAGAATCAGCTGTTTTGACTGCCTTGTATGTTATTCTTGTATGTATCAGAAATCTTAAAAAAGCTGAAAACCTGCCAATGTGCTATTGAGGGATGATGGTGTAAATAAGAACCAGGTCCACTGACTTCCATAAAGCTGTGCACTTTTGCTGTGAGACTGCAGCACTGTGAAAATAAAGTACCGCACAACAGATGTGACTCAGAAGTCACAGTTCTGGGTACCTGGTTATTTCATGCACATATGTGAATGTATCTTGTATGACATGTGCATCTTTGTTGCATTGTATAAATAGTTTTTTTTAACTGTAGGTAGAATTGAAACAACTGCAAAAGAGCTACAAGGCTTTGGCAGATCAAATGAATCTCATTTTGTCCAAGCGTTTATGGTACATCATGATAGAGCAGTTTCTGATGAAGTACGTCTGGAGTAGCTGTGGTATGGTTATGGTTGCTGTGCCCATCATCACCGGGACAGGATTTGCAGATGGCGGTAATACCATTTTCTACTTAATTTCTAAATGTTTCTTTAAAGTTACATCCTCAAAAAACTGCACTTCCCATGAATGCCATTCATATTTATTTATTATTCACACACTTTATTATAACATCCATGTTTTGTGCATAACTTTCAAGCATAGCAAGTCAGCTGAGGACAGAACAATGCAAAAGATCCAACTTTGAACATAAGTCCAATAAACGGCATGAATTCAGGACTTAGAGGATACTTATGCCACATGAGATGATAATGGTGATTGCAGTCCTTATTCAATAGCTGCTGTTGGGATGGCAGGATGATTTTTGCAGCATCTCCTGCTACTTTACCAAATAATACTATTAACTTTCCTAGAGTGCTTATCCCCTCCTTCCATAAACCATAGTATAATTATAGGTAATTATTCTCTTATGTATTGACCTGTTAGGAACTGTTGTTTTTCCCTGTCTCCCTGGGAGAAGAGAAGGTGAAATTCAGATTCCAGACTTGGGTGGTATAATTTTTGACATCCTACCACAACTTTCCAGGAAGTGAAACGAGAGTCAAGTAGTGTTGTTATTGCAGATGCTATTAAAAAAAAATAAGAGAGCAGAAAGAAATGTAATTAAGGAGGGGTAATGAAAGACAAGTGGAGAAGTTTGCCTCAGCAGGCTTCCTGATGCACAATTAGAACCACAGACTATATTGCAAACTCCATAGGATTCTTTCAGCACAGATCCTGCAAGGATCTGTCTGTGGAAGGATCATTTCTAAGTTGGGGACATCTAATCAGGAATTAGTGAATTCTTTTCTGTGCAGGTCTTGGTAGTTATATTCCAAATCAGGGCTGTCCAACTGGACAAGCTTAGTTCAACCTGTAGGATGACTCTGTGCAGTCCTCACGTGGTTTAGCTTACTTGCAGTTGTGGTGGGACATGGCTGGGTGTTCAGCTGTCTGAGCTGCTACCCATCACATGGCTCAGGAGGTCACTATATTGGGATCAGAGGGCTGGGACACCTCTCCTATGAAGACAGGCTGAGAGAGTTGGGGTTGTTCAGCCTGCAGAAGAGAAGGCTCTGGGGAGATCTTATTGAAACCTTCCAGTATTTAATGGGGGCTTAAAAAAAGATGGGGACAGACTTTTTGTCAGGGCTTGTTGCGACAGGACAAGGGGTAATGGTTTTAAACTAAAAGAGGGGAGATTTATACTAGGTATTAGGAAGAAATTTTTCACAATGAGGGTGGTGAAACACTGGCCCAGATTGCCCAGAGAGGTGGTAGCTGCCTCATCTCTGGAAACCTTCAAGGTCAGGTTGGTTGGGGCTCTGAGCAACCTGATCCAGTGGAAGATGTCCCTGCTCATTGCAGGTAGTTTGGACCGGATGACCTTAAAGACCCCTTCCAAACCAATAATTCTATGGTTCTATGACCCTGGCTGGCATCCTGGTAACAGCTTCAAAAATCTCAACAGGTTATATTCCAAACAGAAGAATTTTTAAAAAGCCATTTCACTTCACAGTGAAGGTTATCAGCACAACAGAAAAAGCGTTAAGTCTTTCTGCTAAGATGGGAATGAGTACGGTCAAGAAAAAGGTCGTTTAACCACACATTGTAAATATCTCCTTGGTATTATAGCATGAAAAAAAAAAAGACTTGTATTCACGCTGAACTAAATAACATTCCTGTTACTCATGAGTATTCTTTTGATAAATACTTTTCAAATGTGGGAGAAAAGAAAGATGCAGTGATGGCTCATGTTATAAATTGGAAGAATATTTGCCACCAGCAACATAAAACGTTAAAGCACGGGGCTTCTTACGGAGACCTGAGGCATATTACAGTTATGGATCACAAACACAATACTGATAAATCAACACTGTCAAGATTAGTTCAAAGTATAACAGGTATTCAAAGAATCAAGCAGACCTGAACTTACCACTGGGCTGCTTGGGAAAACGGTGCTTTGTGCCTCAGCCGGTCAGATTCAAGTTTGTGCATATCGAAAAGAATGGATAGTGGATTTATTACTTTAGGATACACAAGTATTACTTTAGAATGCACAAAACTGGTACCATGACTAGACCTGAGACTAAAGGTGTAAAACAATAGATTTTATATGTTTCCTCAGGGGGAAAAAAAAAAAAAATCCTGCAATAAAAGGAAAAGGGATCTTCTATGATGGTGGTATTTCTGAATGAAATTTGCTAATTCTGTTACATATTTCAGGGAAGAAATTAACTGACAAAGCCAAGATTCACATTTGATAACATTTCTCATTCTTTTTGTATTAAATGGTTGTGTTCCAAATGTCATGTGTCTCAGTTTCTGGAAAGTAACTATTTCTGGAAGCAAGACTTTGATTTCTCTAGACACCCTGAACACTTATCTTTGTTTGTAAAACAAGTACGACTATCGATAACATTTCCCTTTTCATCTTCATTTATGTAAGATTCTGTATGAAACAGAGACAATCTGTCTGCCCTGTTACAATGTACCGCTTCTTCAAATGCAGGAGGGCAGCCATATGAAAAATGTTTTGGACGAAAAGTTCAAGAAAAGTAATCTTGGTGGGTTAGGCGTGCAATATAAGAGCTTGTATTTTAGAACTGTGAAATGCTCATAAATTCTGTATAATTTTAATTTTTCAAATACCCCTAGAAGAATGCCTAAAATGACTGATGCAGTGGTTTGTAGAGATCTCTAAACTCTCGCTAGATGAGCTAGCCTGGGTGCTGGAAGCAACCATGAGTGAATTCTGCATTTACATACAGGAGGAATGCTGCATTCATGTAGTTAAACCATAGCTGATTCCTAAATGATTTAATTCTGGTGGTTCTACATAACATGGGCTGTAATCCTAATAAGATCAGCAAAAATTGGTTCTCTCAGAAATAAGAGACAAATTTCAGTTTAGATTTTACTAATGAATTAACTGAGTTCTCTCTATCCCCTAAGTTTATTCTTCTTAGAGTGGAAATTACTTGTTCATGTAGTTCTCAAATATTTGAAAAAGAGTTTTGTAATCTCTGCCTTTGCAAGAGGTTTTCTATCTTTTTTTTTTACCCCTCATGTCTCAGGTGTCTAGATTACTTATAACTAGTTGACAGTGTACTGATGTTGTATAATTCAAGCTAAAAAATTTGAACATGTATCTCAATTAATCAAAATTGTTATTTTAAACATCTGAGGCCAGAAGTATATATATTTGCAAAATTATGATGTAAGAATTTTTTAAAAGTTTTTCCTAAGTTATCCACAGTGTATTTCAGTGATCCAGATGTAATTCTGTAGGGATACCTTTATGGATGCGTAAATGAAATCAAAATAACATTAGATTTAACTAATAAAGATACATCTGGCTTTGTACTGCATGTAGATTTCTAGACACCAGATTTCTAGAATCTGATCTTGTCTGCGAGGTGACAGTTACTCACCAAGAAAAAAAAATACTGTTTGTTATACTCTTGCATTGCTTGACTTAGCCCATAAAATTTACAGTCACATCACACCTGCAGGGAATTCTTCCTAGATTTTCTTGATGGTAAGCATTGTGCAGACATCACAGAGGATGTTAATAACAATTCATAATACAGGAATTGCCACATTGGATTCACCTATTACCCTACCTAGTCTGATGCCTAGCAGCAGCTTAGCTTAAAAAATGAAACTTTAAAAAAACTTTACAAACTTAAAAAAATAATATACAGATCTTGTTCTGCAACAGACTTAAGCAAGTGTTCAAAAAATGTGTGGACGTGGCACTTAGAGACATGGTTTAGTGGGCATGGTCATGTTGGGTTGATGGTTGGACTTGATGATCTTAAAGGTCTTTTCCAACCTTAATGATTCTGTGATTCTGTGACTATATAAAGATATATATATAAGTTAAGTGATGCAGAAAACCCTTGAGACCTTTCATTCTAAACCATGTGAAAAATGAGTGGTTTACTATACATTGTTGTCTTTTTTGTAGCTGGGTCTACTAACACTGAAGCAACATTCAGTCTTACAATATTCAGCCACTTTTTAAATTTTGATTCCTTCAAAAAGCAAACATTGCAAGTTGACTATGCTGTATACATATGTAGGTCACGTGTTAGCAAGAGTATATGTAGGTATGTTAAATGTAAACATTTTATTTCTCTAATATCTTCCATGATTTCTGCTGCTGTTTTCTCCTTGCCTGCTGCTGCTGACGTGCTCTTATGAGACAACTCCCTTCTTTGGAGCAAGAGTTTTCTTACTAATAGAATGCACTGTCATAAACAAAGCGTCATGACTTTGTTCTGGGGTCAGATGAAGAGAGAAAGTGTTGTGAGAGAGAGGTATCCTACTTAAACCATGCCTTTGACAGTAAAAGAGCTTATTGCTTATAGAAGTATAATCATGTTGCCAAATTTACATCGGTATGAATATTTCCTTTTACCTGAAGTCAGTAAATATGTAAGGCTGAAAATGAATAATTGTGAAAGTAGTAAAAATTATACTAAAAATCTGTTTCAGATCATTGCTTAGGTTTCACTTTTTTCATATTTTGAAAAATTGAGGTTGAATAATGAAGCATTCAAAGGAAAATTATCTAGGCTGACAAATAGTATAAAAGAATAGGATGTTTTGCATAAGAAGATGAATTCCGTATACTCCCACTTATTCTTTGTTACCAAGCTAGCTATTCTAGTTACATCCACTGATTCTTTTTGAAAGGTTGTTTTTGTAGGGTTAAGTTTTTCTTAATTTAAAAGCTGCTGTATAATGGCTTACATTAAAATCACAATTTAGTTTGTAGAGATAATTTTCAGAAGAATATTTTAACAGAAAACTTTTTTTACTTTTAGAATTGGAAGATGGCCAGAAACAGGCAATGGTTAGTGAAAGAACAGAAGCTTTTACTACATCACGAAACTTGCTGATCTCTGGAGCAGATGCTATTGAAAGGATTATGTCTTCGTACAAAGAGGTACTGTATATCTGCCATACATGAAACAGAAGAGGAAAAAAAGAACAAAACAGAATTTACACTTAATATAACATGTAAAAAAAAAAGGTGCAATTTTTAAATGCAAATCCTATTGCAACTAAATCCATGGAGATCTTTGAACTGATAGTTTGATCTTTAGAGTTAAGTCCACAAAAAGTCTAAAGTCCACAGCTGCCAGTATGGTGCAAAATGCAAATGTCATTTTTAATACCTGTGTTCAGGTGCCATCAGAGAGCAATAGAAGTTCCTGGAATGTGAATGATAAAGGTTCAAATTCCTCCTCTGTTTGGAGCACAGACCTAAATTCAGGCTGTCTGCCTCCAATGTACTGTGGCTTTTCCGTTGGAAGTGTTGTGTTTTGCATGAAACACAAAGAGAATTGAATAGTTATTTGCTGGCTACCTAAACTGTTTTCAGTATCTTGTGAACCTGTTAAATTGTAAGTAATTTTGCAAAGTAGAGAAATTTTAGCAGGAAAAAGTCCACCTTGGGACAGCAGATAGTCTAGAAGTATGGGATGTTTGTCTGGAAGATCAGAGATGTTGTTTCAGGTCTTTACTCAAATTCCAGTAAAGTTGGGCTTTCATCTGTGGTCTCTCTTGGGGTTTTCTCTAGATGCCAGCTGTTAAGCAAAAGAAGAGTGAGGCAGCACTGTTACTCTCCTCAACATTTCCTTCTGAATGTTGGTTCTGCATTTGTTAATTGGTTTTTGCTTGTCTCTTTGGTGTGGAGCCCTTTTCCCAGTGCAGTGCGAGGAGGCACGCATTAGGCAGCTAATCAAAGACTATGGATTCCATTACTTGGAATCCAGCCATAATAGCTACAGCTTTGTAAATTGGAGGAGGAGGAGTAGTTTGGTGCCTTCAGATACGGGCTTTGACAGAGACAGAGTCTGTGCTTTTTTCAGAAGGAGTTCTTCTAATGGACTGTGATTGTGACCTGTGGTCCTTTAGCTGTTCTTCTGCTTGGCCTCTGCTCTAATGATACTGCCAGATAACCTGTTATACAATGATGTAATTTCTATTTTATTTTCAACATTTAAGTAATTTATATAATGTACATGGGGACTTCCAAACATTGTGGTTTTATTTTTTGGAAAAACAAAAATACCCAGAAAGTAGTAGGAACTGAACAAACTTACTTTGTTTATAACAAGGTGAAATTTTAATCCAGACAGCATGAGATCAAAGACCAGTTCTCACAGAATCACTAAGGTTGGAAAGGACCTTCAAGATCATCAAGTTCAACCGTTAACCCAATGCCACCATGCCCCCTAGACTATGTCCTGAAGCACCACATCCACACGTTCTTTGAATACTTCCAGAGATGGTGACTCCACCACCTCCCTGGGCAGCCTGTTCCAATGCTTGACCACTCTCTTGGTGAAAAAATTTTTCCTAATATCTAATCTAAATCTCCCCTGGCCCAACTTGAAGTCATTTCCTCTCATCCTATTGCTAGTTACTTGGGAGAAGAGGCCAACACCCACCTCACTACAACCCCCTTTCAGGTAGTTGTAGAGAGCGATAAGGTCTCCCCTCAGCCTTCTCTTCTCCAGACTGAACAACCCCAGTTCCCTCAGCTGCTCCTCATAAGACTTGTGCTCCAGCCCCCTCACCAGCTTCGTTGCCCTTCTCTGGACACGCTCGAAGGGCTCAATGCCCTTCTTGTAGTGAGGGGCCCAAAACTGAACACAATATTTGAGGTGTGGCCTCACCAGTGCCGAGTACAGGGGCATAATCACTTCCCTACTCCTGCTGGCCACACTATTGCTGATACAGGCCAGGACGCTGTTGGCCTTTTTGGCCACCTGGGCACACTGCTGGCTCATGTTCAGCTGGCTGTTAACCAGCATCTCCAGGTCCTTTTCCACCAGGCAGCTCTCCAGCCACTCCTCCCCAAGCCTGTAGTGTTGCATGGGGTTGTTGTGACCCAAGTGCAGGACCCTGCACTTGGCCTTGTTAAACCTCATACAGTTGACCTCTGCGCATCGATCCATCCTGTCAAGATCTCTCTGCAGAGCCCTCCTACCTTCCAGCAGACCAACACTCCCACCTAACTTGG